GGCATTGTCGCCGGCTCTCGCACCTGGTCTGACCGATTGAGCTCCACGTCTGGGGCGATCCTCCGCTCAGTCGCTCGGCTTTGTGCTGGCTCGTCGATCGCGGCGGGAATTGGCTCTCCGTCATCGGCTGATGCTCCGTACCCCGGGGAGATGGTGGGCTGGGCACTGGGTCTGGAGTGGATCTGACGAGATCATCCACGGGGCAGCTGGTGGATGGTGACCCGTTTCTCGCCAGAGTCCACTCTACGAAGGCGACGAAATCCTCTCGAGGACCATCTTCGGACGACGTCGTCCGGGTAGCTGGTGGTGCTTGCTAGCAGCTGGAATAGTCTTGTATGGTCCTCGAGAAATCTATCCCCCTGCTCCAGCAGGAGGAGGAGGAATTCCGGGCGGGTGAAGGGATCCATAACAGGAAACACAACGGAAACAAAAACACTGAGAGAAAAAACGAGAAAACAAATGGAGGGGAAAACACGGAGGTAACTGTGTCGGTCAGGTCTTCTGTCACATTACGCTGCTGCGGGAAGAACGTAGGAGACACGGAGTAGCATTCACAGTCTTTAATGACAAAAAACGGGATAATCCACAATAGGAGCAGGGCAAACACACGTAGAAACAAGTAGACCTGACAAACACAAACTGAACAGACTAGGACTTTTAAACACAGGGCAATCAGGAGAACACAGGTGACATCAATGGAACATAATCAAACTAGACGAGGACAGGAACATGACCAAATAAGGAAACACAGGAAGGACTACGGGGGAAAAACAGGTCCAAAAGTATTTCGCTAAACTTACAACTACCTAACTATTAATAAGCAGAATATTAGGACTTTATTGAGGGAAAACTCTTACTTAATTGTGAATATGTGTTCCCTATTCTAAAGTGTTACCAAAATTTTTAATTTGACATTATTACAAAGTATACTTTTTAAAATCGTACTTACAGTAAGTGTGTTAAGAAACATCTTAATGAAAGTGTACTTTTTTTTAAAGTGTCCTTTTATTTCATTAATATTACAATATCTGCAAGTACAGGTTTAAATTTTGAAGTACACTACAAATACACATAAAATCTGTTTAATTTTAGTATCTTTGAGGTTAATATTTTAAATTAGTGTTCATTTTTATATATATTTTATATTTGTATTATATTTTATATTTATATTTTTTTATTTGAATTTTTTACTTTTTAGTAAAAATGGCCTCCGTGTAAAGTCTGAATAGCTTTTATCTAAAATAACTAGGCAACTAGCTAAAATACATTTTCCACTACTTTAATTTCATATAACAAGTCTAGACTGTGAAAAGAAGATGCCATGGTGTTCAGTTGGAGTGAACAAGTCATAGACATCAGCATGGATTGGATGCAGGAGATTTCTTGACCACTGATTGCCTTGTATGATAGGGCAAGTGTTGTGAAGTTGATTTAAACAGGAATAGGGAGTGTAGCAGAGGTGTGAGGTGGGAGTACTCGAGAAGGTTGAAAATCAGGTGGGCTGCAGCATTCAAGATGAGCTTGCAGTAGATTTGAGATGCAATAGTCAAGGCAAAAGCAGACCAGTAGTGTATCTGGTAAGAAATGATCTGTTTTGCAGGAGGAATCAGCATGTTTTGACTGTGGTTAGTAGCCTATGCAGGGTGCAAATGACAGGTTGCTGTCAAATGTGACACTAAGGTTCTTGGCTTGCTATGTGGGTGAAATGGTTAAGTTGTCTCTTGAAATGACAAGGTCTCGCCAAGAATGATTTTTTTTTATAAACATCCAGGGGTGCAATGAACAGCTTTCCAAGACAGAATTATGGGCCCCCTTATATACAGTATATACAGTGGGTACGGAAAGTATTCAGACCCCCTTAAATTTTTCACTCTTTGTTATATTGCAGCCATTTGCTAAAATCATTTAAGTTAATTTTTTTTCCTCGTTAATGTACACACAGCACCCCATATTTATTGAAAAACACAGAATTGTTGACATCTTTGCAGATTTATTAAAAAAGAAAAACTGAAATATCAAATGGTCCTAAGTATTCAGACCCTTTACTCAGTATTTAGTAGAAGCACCCTTTTGATCTAACACAGCCATGAGTCTTTTTGGGAAAGATACAACAAGTTTTTCACACCTGGATTTGGGAATCCTCTGCCATTCCTCCTTGCAGATCCTCTCCAGTTCTGTCAGGTTGGATGGTAAACGTTGGTGGACAGCCATTTTTAGGTCTCTCCAGAGATGCTCAATTGAGTTTAAGTCAGGGCTCTGGCTGGGCCATTCAAGAACAGTCACAGAGTCGTTGTGAAGCCACTCCTTCGTTATTTTAGCTGTGTGCTTAGGGTCATTGTCTTGTTGGAAGGTAAACCTTAGTTCCAGTCTGAGGTCCTGAGCACTCTGGAGAAGGTTTTCATCCAGGATATCCCTGTACTTGGCCGCATTCATCTTTCCCTCGATTGCAACCAGTCGTCCTGTCCCTGCAGCTGAAAAACACCCCCACAGCATGATGCTGCCACCACCATGCTTCACTGTTGGGACTGTATTGGACAGGTGCCTGGTTTTCTCCACACATACCACTTAGAATTAAGGCCAAAAAGTTCTATCTTGGTCTCATCAGACCAGAGAATCTTATTTCTCACCATCTTGGAGTCCTTCAGGTGTTTTTTTAGCAAACTCCATGCGGGCTTTCATGTGTCTTGAACTGAGGAGAGGCTTCCGTCGGGCCACTCTGCCATAAAGCCCCGACTGGTGGAGGGCTGCAGTGATGGTTGACTTTCTACAACTTTCTCCCATCTCCCGACTGCATCTCTGGAGCTCAGCCACAGTGATCTTTGGGTTCTTCTTTACCTCTCTCACCAAGGCTCTTCTCCCCCGATAGCTCAGTTTGGCCAGACGGCCAGCTCTAGGAAGGGTTCTGGTCATCCCAAACGTCTTCCATTTAAGGATTATGGAGGCCACTGTGCTCTTAGGAACCTTAAGTGCAACAGAAATTTTTTTGTAACCTTGGCCAGATCTGTGCCTTGCCACAATTCTGTCTCTGAGCTCTTCAGGCAATTCCTTTGACCTCATGATTCTCATTTGCTCTGACATGCACTGTGAGCTGTAAGGTCTTATATAGACAGGTGTGTGGCTTTCCTAATCAAGTCCAATCAGTATAATCAAACACAGCTGGACTCAAATGAAGGTGTAGAACCATCTCAAGGATGATCAGAACAAATGGACAGCACCTGAGTTAAATATATGAGTGTCACAGCAAAGGGTCTGAATACTTAGGACCATGTGATATTTCAGTTTTTCTTTTTTAATAAATCTGCAAAAATGTCAACAAATCTGTGTTTTTCTGTCAATATGGGGTGCTATGTGTACATTAATGAGGAAAAAAAATTAACTTAAATGATTTTAGCAAATGGCTGCAATACAACAAAGAGTGAAAAATTTAAGGGGGTCTGAATACTTTCCGTACCCACTGTAACCTCTAAATATGGTGGTTTTTTTCTGGCGGTATTTTGTGATTTATGGAGCGATTAAAAGAGAGATCCCCTCAGTAAAAGCCTTTAACTCTAATATGTAAAAAAAAAATTGGACCAGGCTTTATGCAATGTTCAGTTTATTATTCTGGAAATATATGCAAATGAGTGCATATTTAATTAGATAATGCAACGTTTGCATATGTGAACATAATGTTACAGAAAACTTAAAGGCTTCATTTGGCCAAAAAATTTAAATTGTCATCATTTCCTTACATCAAGTTGTTCCAAACCTGTATGAGTTTCTTTGTTCTGTTGTGCACAAAAGAAGATATTTTGAAGAATGTTACCAAAGACTTAAACTACTTCAGTCTGTGTGCATTGAATTTATTTAATACACGAGTTTCACAATTTGAGTTGAATTACTGAAATAAATGAACTTTTCCACGACATGTGTGTGTGTGTGTGTGTGTGTGTATACAGTGGGTACGGAAAGTATTCAGACCCCCTTAAATTTTTCACTTTTTGTTATATTGCAGCCATTTGCTAAAATCATTTAAGTTAATTTTTTTTCCTCATTAATGTACACATAGCACCCCATATTGACAGAAAAACACAGAATTGTTGACATTTTTGCAGATTTATTCAAAAAGAAAAACTGAAATATCACATGGTCTTAAGTATTCAGACCCTTTGCTGTGACACTCATATATTTAACTCAGGTGCTGTCCATTTGTTCTGATCATCCTTGAGATGGTTCTACACCTTCATTTGAGTCCAGCTGTGTTTGATTATACTGATTGGACTTGATTAGGAAAGCCACACACCTGTCTATATAAGACCTTACAGCTCACAGTGCATGTCAGAGCAAATGAGAATCATGAGGTCAAAGGAATTGCCTGAAGAGCTCAGAGACAGAATTGTGGCAAGGCACAGATCTGGCCAAGGTTACAGAAAAATTTCTGCTGCACTTAAGGTTCCTAAGAGCACGGTGGCCTCCATAATCCTTAAATGGAAGACGTTTGGGACGACCAGAAGCCTTCCTAGAGCTGGCCGTCCGGCCAAACTGAGCTATCGGGGGAGAAGAGCCTTGGTGAGAGAGGTAAAGAAGAACCCAAAGATCACTGTGGCTGAGCTCCAGAGATGCAGTCGGGAGATGGGAGAAAGTTGTAGAAAGTCAACCATCACTGCAGCCCTCCACCAGTCGGGGCTTTATGGCAGAGTGGCCCGACGGAAGCCTCTCCTCAGTGCAAGACACATGAAAGCCCGCATGGAGTTTGCTAAAAAACACCTGAAGGACTCCAAGATGGTGAGAAATAAGATTCTCTGGTCTGATGAGACCAAGATAGAACTTTTTGGCCTTAATTCTAAGCGGTATGTGTGGAGAAAACCAGGCACCTGTCCAATACAGTCCCAACAGTGAAGCATGGTGGTGGCAGCATCATGCTGTGGGGGTGTTTTTCAGCTGCAGGGACAGGACGACTGGTTGCAATCGAGGGAAAGATGAATGCGGCCAAGTACAGGGATATCCTGGATGAAAACCTTCTCCAGAGTGCTCAGGACCTCAGACTGGGCCGAAGGTTTACCTTCCAACAAGACAATGACCCTAAGCACACAGCTAAAATAATGAAGGAGTGGCTTCACAACAACTCTGTGACTGTTCTTGAAT